AATATATATATATATATATATATATATATATATAAATACATAATGTTGTTTATACCTATATATATACTGAGTTCCAGGTCAGCCAGGGCTACAAAGGGAAATCCTGTCTCAAAAACACTGCTCCCCACCAAATAGCATAGATCTGTTTCCCAGAGCCTCGCATTTTCTTTAGACAGGATGTGTCTACATATATGCTTACTGTCTTTATGTCTTTCTTGAGACCAGAGTCTTACTATGTAACCTTTGTAGGCCTCAAACTCTAGATTGTCCTGCCTCAGTTTTCCAAGTGCCAGATTTTGCTTATATTTATTACTATTGTTATATTATTATTATTATTTGAGACAGGGTGTCACTATTCACAAGGATCGGCCTGCCTCTGCCTCCTGAGTGCTGGGATTAACAACATGGTTTGTGTTCATTGTTTTTTAATGTATAAATAAGCATAAAAACAGAGTTTTGGTTGTTTTTTGTTTTTTTTTTGGCATGCAGTGACTCATTCTCTCCACCAGGGTTCAGTCAGGCCTAGCCTTTTCAGCCACATGAGAGATGCAGTTTGGTTTTTGTTTGTGTTTTTTTTTTTTTTTTTTTTTCTAATTACAAAGTTGCTTTTTAATACTTTGAGGTATGCCCCACAGGAAAAAGAAAACAAAACAAAAACTGGAAAGAGTAACTTCACCTTTCGGGAGTGGCCCAGTGGAGAGAGGTTACCTGAGGGCAAAGAAGCATGAGAGGGACCTTCCGCAGACTCAGGACTGGCTCCCGGCACAGAAGCAAGGGCAAAAGGGTTGGTCACGAAGCCACTGAGCTACTTGGGCTCCTTCTCACTGGCCTTTTTCGGCTTCTGCTGCAGACCTCTGCGTTCCTCCGCAAACCTTCCCTCAACCGAGTCATTCTGCTTCTTGTGGTCCAGCTCAAGCCTGGTTGCCACAGCTCCGACCTGCCTCGGTTGCATCTCCTGGCTCTGTTTTGTTGACTTTAAAACGTAAGAGCAAAAGTGTTAAGGGAATTTCCTCTGAAGAACCCCTACCCTGCTCTGCTAAAGGTTTGGGTTTAGGTAGTGAGGAGAGAACTGGGTCTTTGTAGGACTTCTATTCCATCATGGCTTGAGGCCAGAAGCATCCATAGAGCTTTCATAGTCACTTAAGACACACCTCCTTCCTTCTCTGTCTTCCTGTCTCTCCTTCCTTTTTTCTTTCTTTGTTTCCTTTTGTCGTGACCACTGAACTGTATTCCTAGGTGTTTTTACGTATATATTTTTGTTTGTTTGTTTTGATTTGTAGACAAGGTCTCACCAAGTTGGCCCTGGAGCTTACACTGAAACCTAAGCGGCATTGGAATGGTGGCTCCTCTTGAGTAGCTGGGATTACTACCAGCGCCTGCCAGCTCTGGCTATACCTCTGTTATTTTATATTGAATCAAGGAATAGCTTTACCTGGCATTTCTTATTTTATTTTTACCATCAAAGAAATTACTTCATAATTTAGATGATTTATCTGCCTTATTTTTTTTAATATTTATTTTATCTTAGTTATATGTATGTGTGTTGTGGATATAAACATGTTTTTGTTTTGGTCCCAGGTGTGGGATGTGGGACTGATTCAGATGGTCCACAGCAGCAGACTGTTTGCTTCATGTGGGCTCTGAGAGGAGCTCTTTGCAAGCTGCAGATAGTTTCTTTTCTTTTCTTTTCTTTTTTTCTTTTTCTTTTTTTTTTTTTTTTGCTTTAAGACATATTTATTTATTTTTGTTAGTTACATTTTTAAACCCTCCCTCCAAAACTGTGTAGCTCAGGCTGGCCTCAAACTCATGATCCTCCTGCCTCTGCCTCCTTCAGCAAATCCTGCTGGTGTGTGCCACCACAACTGACTGCAGATAGTTTCAATCTGAGGACTCTGGAGAGAGAATAAATGCCAAAGCCCAGATAGTGTGGAGGTCAGAGAAAGAACAAGGCTGCTTCTGCTTTCCCCTTGTTGTTCCTAGGTGCTGTTGTAGATCTTTTGAAACCAGGATTGGACTGGCTTCAAGGAACCCAAGAACCCTAACCAGGAAGCAGCTAAGAAAGAACTGCTCTCCTCTCCCACTAACGCATTCTCTCTCCTACCTGGTGTTGGGATATTGGAAGGGGTTGAGGTGGAGTAAGGAGAAAAATATATAAGAAACCTAAATAAAAGAGTCTTTTTTAAGTACGCCAACAAATGGTGCCCAGATATCAGGCTTAAAATAATGAGTAATGGCGTACAGGAGACAGTAGGGTGTGGATAGATGAATATACCATTTCAGGATATGCGCATAAGGTTTATTGCAGCTGCTAACGCTGGTTTTATTTCCACTTTACTCCCAGAGGGATTCTCTGGTTTTGTTTCATTGCAGAGCTGGCAATGCAACTAGAAAATTAGTGAGTAGGGTTTGAAAGCGTCTTCGGTAAAGGGAGAATACCTGGGAACTAAGAGCTGGAATTCTCCACAGTTGTGGCCCAGCCCTGCTCTGAGTACTTTTGGTGTCAAGTTCCCACAGCCTCTGGGCAGGAAGAGTAGAAGGCTGTACAGGCTGAAAAGGTTAAAGGCAAAAAGCTTGTTTCAAGAACAGGAAGAAGCACCCCGACTCTTGCTCAACTTCGCCGAGTTCTTAAAGAAGTGCTCCGAGAGCTGGAAGGCCATGTCTGCAAAGGAAAAGTGGCAGTTTGAAGACCTGGCCAAGATCGACAAAGCTCCTTATGACAGGGAGATTTACATTCCTCCTTACTGCATGAAAAAGGGATGAAAAAGGGAAGAAAAAAGATCCTAATGCTCCAAAAAGACCACTGTCTGCCTTCTTCCTGTTTTGCTCTGAACATCGCCCAAAGATCAAAAGTGAGTACCCGGGCCTGTCTGTTGGAGATACTACAGAAAAGCTGGGTGAGATGTGGTCTGAACAATCTGCCAAAGATAAACCACCGTGTGAGCAGAAGGCGGCTAAACTAAAGGAGAAGTGTGAAAAGGGTATTGCTGCATACCGAGCTAAGGGTAAAAGCGAAGCAGGAAAGAAGGGACCTGGGAGGCCAACAGGTTCAAAGAAGAATGGACCGGAAGATGAGGAGGAGGAGGACAAGGAAGGAGATGATGAAGATGAGGAGGAAGAAGATGAGGATGAAGAATAAATGGCTGTCCTAAAATGTGTGGAGTGTCTATATGTGCTCAGGCAACTATTTTGCTAAAAATGTGAAATTCAAGTGCAGCTCAACATTAGCATCAGTATAAAAACTATAGATTTTTGTATAGCTGATGAGATTCTTTATAGAAAAAAATACTTTTTTTTAAAGAAGGGGTTTGTAGCTTTTTCAGGGGCTACAAAGTACAGTTAGATTTAAAGCTTTTGATGTTGAATGTTCCTAAATATTTAATGGTTTCTTTAATTTCTTATGGTAGCAAAAACAAAACTTCATAGGAATTTGTATTACCAGTAAATTTTTTAGGATGTTGATTTTTTAAAATTTGTAATAAAATTATATTAAAAAAAAAAAGAAAGAAAACAGATTAATCTTGATCAAACTGAGCTGCCAGAGGAGGAGCCTCAGGTTAAAGATTAACACCATTAGCTTTTCCAGTAGCTGCCAAAAGTTTTAGATATCGAAATGCTCAATGCTGCCTCAGAGCTTAAAATGGCTGGTGTGTTAACTCAGAAATATGGTAGGTTCTGGTGGGACTGGTTTCTCTGCAAGAACATCTGGCTAACTTCTGGCCTTTAGGAGCTTAGCTGGAGGCTCAATAGTAAGTTGATCCAGACAAGAGCAGCTGAAAGTCATGAGGTTATAGAAGAAATTATATCCAAAAGGGCTTGGTTCCTTTATTGTCTCCTTCTGAGAAAGCAACAGCAAGTTTCATTTATACTGAAAGAACCTTCCCCACCCCCCCTTTTTTTAAACAGAAAAGAGGAAAATGTTGTGGATATAAACATGTTTTTGTTTTGGCCCCAGGTGTGGGAGGGGAACTGAATCAGATGGTCCACAGAAGAAAACTATTTGCCTCATGCAGGCTCTGAGAGGAACTCCTTGCCAGCTGCAGATAGTTAAAATCTGAGGACTCTGGAGAGAGAATAAATGCCAGACCCAGAGAGTGTGGAGTGGGAGAAAGAACAAGGATGCTCCTGCTTCCCCCCTTGCTACTCCTGGTTGCTGTGGTGAGACAAGAAGTTGGAGATTTCCTGAAATGAAGATTGGACTGGCTCCAAGGAACCTGATGACCCTAACCAGCAGGAAGCAGCTATAAGAATTGTGACTCCTCTTCCACTAACCCTTTCTCTCTCGTACCTGGTGTTGGGGTATTGGAAGGGATTGAGAAGGAGTAAGAAGAAAAAGATATAGTAACAGTAAATAATTTTTTTAAAGCACACCAATGTCTGTGTGTGTGTTATATGTATATGAGTGCAAGTGTCCTTTGAAGCATGCATTTATCAGTTCCGTAACAAGCACTCCTAACACTGAGCCCTCTCTCCATCCCATCTGCCTCGTAGCTAACAAGCAATTAATTCTTAATACTTGCATGCATCCTCATGGGCAACAGAAGAGGTCCTGTTGGAGCTTAAACTAAAGCTCTAGGTTACAGACAGAACAGGGTATTTCGGGAGCCATAAGGACACAGTTTTGCAGAGGGTTATGCTGAGGGGCATAGATAAAAAGTTGAGGCTGATTCTGAAATAATCTTGTGTGCTATGAGGAAATCCAGAGCGGTTACCAGATAGTCAGAAGCTGTTTACAGCAACATGGGGATGACAAGTTAGATTCTCATGCAAAGGTAAAGTTGGAAGCATCATGGAGCATGAATTAGAAGGGATCAGATAAGCAGAGAATCGAGGTCTTCTGCCACCAGGGTTCTCGGAGAAGTCATATGACCCAGCTGTGTAATAGGTAGATGTCTGCTTAGATGGGGAGGAATGAAAGTGATCCATAATTTTCTTAGGAGGGGATCTAGAAGGAGAAGCATGTTGGGATTGAAGGAAAGTAAGTTTAGGGAAGCTAAATTCGAGATGTCTATGGGGCAACCATGTGAAAATGTCCTATAGTTTTATGGATATTATTTTATTTATTCTTTGATAATTTCATACATGTAGATAATGCATCTTGGTCATATGCACTTCAGACTTTTCTCTCCTTTTTCTCCCAAGCACCCTCAATGTGTCTCTCCCTTTCATTTATTCCTCCTCATCTTGTTATATAACCAACTGAGTCTAATTACTGTTGCCTGTTGAAATGCTAACTGTTCTTGCTGGCCTGATCTTGGGCAGGTCTTGTGTGGGTAATCATAGCCACAATGAGTTCATGAGCACAAAGACTACAGAAGATGGCGCGACATTCCTTCCCATTCTCCAGCCCTTATGTTTTTTCTGCCTCCTTTTCTGTGATGTTCCCTGAGGCTTGAGTAGTGGGTTATTGTACCCAAGGTTGAGGGTAGCAGTAATCTATGAGTGTAAACATAGATACTTCAATTGAAGCTTGACAGCCTTTTTTTTTTTTTTTTCAAGACAACAGTAGTAATTTCCCTCCTAGGGTCTTTTACCTCCCCAGCCAGGGGTTTTGACCTGGTTTGTAATACCAGGCAAGACTTTTCTCCTGTGAAGCAGGCTTCAAATCCAATTTAAAAGTAGTTGGTAGCCCCACAACATTCAAGCCACTATTAACACACTGGGCACACTGGGCCTGCCAGGTCTGCACTGTAGAAATGCAGAGTTCGCCAATAAATAACATCATTAATGGATTTTTTTCTAGCATAGCATCTCTGGCTCTGTGATATCTAGCCAGTAGGGAGGAAGTTTTCAGGTCAAGTCAGCTAGATTTCTCTATGTCCTGCAACTGAAATGTTCAGCAATAGAGTCTTACTAGCTAGTCCTGGAAGGCAGCTAAAAGCAATGGCAATAGCCTGGGTTGTTTAAGGGTCTCTGGGGTCTCACTGATCAATAACTCAAAGGGAAGCCATACCCTAAGATTTCCAGTTAGTAACTCATGTCTTCTGGGAAAGCATTGTCCACCCATGCAGGCTACCTGTGTTCAACACCCCTCTCTTTTTTTAAATTTAATTTTTGTTTTGTTTTTCAAGACAGATTTCTCTGTGTATCCCTGGCTGTCCTGAAACTCACTCTGTAGATCAGGATGACTTTGAATTCAAAGAGATACACCTACCTCTACCTCCCGAGCCCTGTCACTGTGCTTCGAGTAAAGACATGTACCACCACTGCCCGGCTTTCATTTTATTTTATTTTATTCTTAGTTTTTCAAGACAGGATTTCTTTTCATAGCCTTGGCTGTCCTGGCACTTTCTCTATAGACCAGGCTGTCCTCAAACTCACATAGATCCTGCTGCTTCTACCTGGGATTAAAGGTGTGTGCCATCATCACCCAGCTCATTTTATTATTTATCATTTTACTTATCTATTTATTTATTTATTTTTTTTAGTAGCTCAGGCTGTCCTGGAACTTGCTTTGTAGAACAGAGTCTACACACACACACTTCAAAGAGAGGGATGTTTATAGATGAAGACATCCAAGGAGAGTAAGCAAAACAAGAACAAAAACGAAAGTGTAGCAATATGTAAGGTGGCACGTAAAACACTCAGCAGACCTGACCTGTAGTGAGCTCAGGTGGCCTGGTCAGGCCACCCTATCTGACTCGCTGGAAAGGAGAGAAGAAGGCAGAAACAAGACAGACTGATTTCTTGATTACTCTGTATCTTGAATTACAGGTCGGGTTCCACAATACACAGGGTGTTGGTCTGATCCAAGTGCTAACTGGAGCCCTTTACTATGGGTGGGAGAGGGGTGATGAACTGGGAGCTTGGTGATTGTTCTAGACTATGCCAGGAGTCAGCAGTCAGCAAAGTGTAACCAGAGAAAGCGAGAGAAGGGGGGTGGCCTCAGGAGCTGGCCAAAGGGGCTGCTGGGCTGGCTTGTGTTACGCTGGGGCCTTTGTCCTACTTAAACTGCCCACACAATGGAGCTCCATTACATGCTGACACGGCGTTCTGAATGTGGAGCTCGGATAGAGAGTCTACGTGATGGGGACAAAAGTGAATGGTCACCTGTACCCAAGAATCACATCTCTGTTCATGAATATTGAAATCACTAGAGAGGATGTTTAAACGCGATAAATACAAGTTATGTTAATAAATGGTTCATTCACAAATCAGTTAATTTATACTTTAAGATAGTTAACATATACACAACAGGTTAGCAGACCGCTTGCCTATCATGCACCAAGCTATATGTTCAATCCCAACCCTGCACAAATTGCATATGGATGAACTCACTCATATGAGTGGTAAGGTGAAATCCCAACACTCAGCTGAATGGTAAATTTGATGTCAGCCTGAAGTATATGAGATGTTTTCTCAAAAATAAACATATACACTGTTTAGGCATATCTCATTTAATTTTCATACTCCTCCTCATCTGGTCAAAATTTTATGGAACTCAAACCTGGTTACATTTTAGGTACTACTAAAGACAACAGATGACTAGAACATGGCTACAGGAAACTGGAACCTCAATCATGGTCCACTTTGGGGTAACAATGGCAACTACACAGACCCCACTCTGAAGGAATGAAGACTAGGAGCTCCGCTTGAAGAGTCCTTGAGCTGTAAAGAGCTACCTTCTCCCTATTAGTATAGATGGTGCTTCTGTAGCACTCTGTGGGACTGGGAAATGGGCTTTTGTTCTTGAACAGAGTAGTAAACTTGGGATGACCAGCCCAGGAACATCCAGCTTTTGAAAGGTTGGGCATTACTCACCAAGAGATAACTCATGCAGGTGTAGAGACAGATAATACTGCAAGACATTAATATTTCTGATAAAAGCCAATCATTGTGGAGCATACCTTTAACCAGCCTCTGGAGACAGAAGCAGGTGGATCTCAGTGATGACCAGCCTGGTGTATATTGAGTTTCAGGACAGCCAGGGTGACACAGAGAGAACCTGTATATATATATGTATGTGTATATGTATATGTATGTGTATGTGTATGTGTATGTGTATGTGCGTGTGCGTGTGCATGTGCGTGTGTATGTGTATGTGCATATGCATGTGCATGTCTGGACTTCCAAGTGCATGCAGTAGCACTTAGAAGGCAGAGGGAAGGAGGATCATGATCCTGAGGCCAGCTTCAGCTA